TTCGCTGCTGGGTTCTGACTCAGCCACTAGAATCAGTGTTCAATCAGGATCCCGGTCTAGTAAATGGTTCCGGCATGGTAATAACCAATCGACTAATTCAAACCATGGCAGACGCCAGCATTTGTTTACTATGACTCAAGATAACTTTGCCGGCAACGGCAATTACAATCGTTATCCGTTCGACCAATAGCCAAGTCGATTAACAAAACAACTCTCCACAAGCCAACCCCAATTCCGCTTATAGACGGGTTTATTTATTTATTTATTTATTTATTATTATTATTATAGTCCATTTGACTTGATAGTCTCAATGAAACACTTAAATCTAAATGTAGTCACTCATTAAAAATTGAAAATTGGCCGACAGCAAACGATGACGAAACCTGGAGGCATTGATGTCAAAGTCCAATAGGTCAGATGCTGCATTGAATTGATGAATCATGGCAACAAAGGAACTGTTTGCAGCATAGTTGGTTGCATGTACTGCTTCATGTAGCAAGGTTCTCGGACGGGGTGTTCGGACAGGAGCATACAAATTAATTTTGGCTAGTAACTCAGGAACATCATATTCTGCGAGCAAAACTTTAGCAACGAAGACGACCTGCGATAAGTTTCGTCGCTTAGCAAGAGTATTCAAACCCAGTAAACGACAACGGTCAGCATATGGTGGTAAATTCAGCGGGTCACTCCATGGAAGATAGCGCAGTGCGTATCTGACGAATTTGCGTTGAACAGCTTCGAGTTGTAGGGATTCCAGACAACACACGCGAATTCCAGTAGTGAGCGTACCAATGAACAGTAAAGGGCTTTAAAACACAGAGGATCACGAAATTCCTTCGATATATTGAACATGAATCCAAGCTGACGATTAGCTTTGTCGATCGTGGTTAAGAAGTGGCGAGTGTATGTGAGCTTTTCATCCAACATGACACCGAGGTCTTTAACGTGATCGACACGTTGAACTGCAGTCCCAGCAACGTTATAATCAAACCAAACGGCAGTTCTAGTTCGGGGGAAACTAATTACGCAGCACTTTGAGACGCACAGGACCATAAAATTACATTCACACCAATCATTGAAGATTTCAATAAGGTTTTGTAGTTCTAAACAGTCGGCATAGCCTCGAACGACTAGATAAATCTTCAAGTCATCGGCAAAAAACAATTTACCTCCACGTAGTAGAATAAACGTTACATCGTTCACAAATAAAGAAAAGAGCAGTGGTCCCAAAGTGCTACCCTGAGGAACTCCTGATCTGTTCGAGAAACAGTACGATGAGTAGTTTCCAATGCATACAGTAACTTCACGTTGCACGAGGTACGATCTAAGCCAGCTGCAGAAGAAAACAGAACATCCAATTTTTTCAAGCTTTGATAGCAGAACGTCGTGCACAACTCTATCAAACGCAGCTTTAAGATCAGTGTAGATGGCATCCACTTGAAGTTTCTTGCATACATTTTCCATACAGAACGACGTAAAGCTGACGAGATTAGTTTCCACGGAGCGGCCAGGAAAGAAACCATGTTGACATGTACTTATGTAATGCTTGCAGGAAGCAAACAATCTCTCATTTATCAGCGACTCAAACAACTTAGATTCAACCCCAAGCGAGGTAATCCCACGGTAGTTTTCCACATTGCGTTTGTCTCCTTTCTTGAAAACAGGGAACATAGTAGAGCATTCCCATAGTGCAGGAAATTTCTGATGATGAAATGACAGGTTGAAGAGCAAGGACAACGGAGCAGCTAAGATATCTGAGCATTTGTTTTAGGACAGCAGACGGAATAACACTCGGACCTGGTGAAAATGATGATTTGGTTTTACTCATCACAGAGAGAACCATTTGTACATCTACGGCAAAAACATCCAGGTTTACGACGTCGGTTGGCACATCACGGACGGCTCGCTCAATTTCTGCTTGCGATTCGCTACTTCGCGCAAAAGGCTATTATAGCGAGCGGCTGCTGTATCGATATCAAGGTCATTCAAGACGTTCCAGTTGATCCAGGACAAGGAACGCCTCAGCAAACGGAAATCGGTCTTCCGGAAATTGAGCCGAGTGGCAGTCATGGTTTCATCAAAACGATTTGAGATCCGTTCGCGATAGATATATCCAAAGCAGGGTGGAAATTGTCAAGAGGAACGATGACGTCAGGCGCTTCAGCGACGACACAGTCCAGAAGTGCGCTTTCGCTAACAAAAACCAAGTCAAGAAAACGAGACTGGAAATTGGGAACAAGGTTTATCTGGCGCAGTCCATGAAAAGCCGTGCCGTCAAAAAGCAAGCGGATGGCAGGAGTAGTTGAAGGTGCAATCGGATCTGGAAACGCATAACCCTGGCCTGATGGTGACCAGCTAAGCACAGGCTGATTAAAATCACCAAGCATAAGAAGCACATCCGTTATATCAGCCATGGACGATGCAAATTCTGTAGCATCCAGATGAAGCTGCATTGTGCTGCAGTCATGTCGACGTTCAGGGGGAATATACTCCGCTCCAATTATAGTAAATAGTTCGTTGGCGATTACGCAGAAGGCGAATGCGTTGGAAACAGCGATGAGGACACCACCACCGCGAGTACGAATGCTTTTCGATGAATTACGGTCTAATCTGTAGACAGTAAAAGAGTCACCAAACAGTTGCACTGAATTGATCCTCGCATCGAGCCAATTTTCCGTGAATACATTAACGTCATATTCCCCGTCAAGCGCAGCCAGATAAACATCGTCCAATTTAGTCATGAGCCCCCTGGTGTTCTGATAATAGACTCGTAAACCGCTAGAAGGTTCGGTGCGAGCGTGTCAATGGTAACTTGTCCAGGATCCGAATGAGAGAACGGTGAACTATCAGGCAGCGAAAGATCACCTGGCGTAGAAAGGCTCGAAGTGGTGGCCATAAGCGAAGATGAACTGAAACCAAGTGGCGGATCAACAGTTGAATTCACATGGACGAGTTCATACTTGCCGTAAACGAGTGGTTGGAAGACCCCTTCACCAGGCCCACACACAGGGCCGGGACGGCTGCAGGTCGCTGGCGGGAATGGTGATGGATATGATTGCCCAAAGTCGTGTCAACAACAATCAGACCGCTTATGAGCAATACATGGTGCAGATGCTCAACAAGACTCAACAGAGCGAAATCCTACGTCGCATGCTGATTAAGAACACTGTCGACAACGGATTTGACGATAACCAGCATCAACAGCAGCATCAAGTTGCACAGCTGCCGTCTATTCCAACCCAACTAGAGCTTCAATTACACACCCAATCTATCACGCAGAATGCTCTGCACCGTAAAAAGTTACAAGATCAGCCATGTCCATTGCTCCTAACATAGTGGAACCTAACGCTGCGCTGCAGCAATTTGTCAAATCAGTTTCTCCAAACTTCCAGCGGAGCTTATCGGTCCTGAACCAAACGGCCACTGCTGGTGGTGGCCATTATCGCTCATTCAACCAATCGTTTCCGGGTGCCAACTCTGCAGTCAATAACCCACTGTTCATTGGTGGATCAAATCAGCTGGACCTTTCGGCGTCTCTCCGACCGATGTTGCTTTCACAACAGCAACAAAGAACCGCGCTCGCTTGGCAATCGTCGGGAAGAAATCAGTTACGTGGAAAAATCCCGTCTAAATACTTTGCAGTCGAACTAATGCGTTCGTTATTGGTCAGATTGAGGAAAATGTGAGTTGCATTTCACTTAGTACAAAAAATGATTTGTTTTGATGCAGAGGTCATCTGTTGGAATATGAGTATTTCACTAGGTTTCCGTTTTTACTTACTTTTCATTCTTCAAAATGTCTTGTTTTTTTCTTTTTTTGTATTTATACGAACGAAATTACTCGACTTCAGAGTTGTCAGAGTTTCATTTTTTTCTGTGCAGATTATGTGCTAACATATTTACTAGCCTAGTTTTATGGCGATTGTTTGTAGATCGCGATTTGTCAACTGTCAACTGATTGTAGGTAAAATCCTTGAAAATAAAACATTCATTCCAGTTTTACACAAATTGAATTAGCTATCGTGGATTGGTATTTTGAATCTTAGACTATAAATCATTGAATTGTGCAAAATTTTCTACCACCTTAACCCGTAAGCTATTTTCCGATTCTTACTGGAAAGTTATTTCGACTCCCCCAAGTTTTTCTAACTTCAACTCCGGAATATTGTTGTAAATTTCTCTAGAAGATTCTACCGATTTCCATCGAAAATTTATTTCGACATCTCCCAGAAATTGCTTTCTTCCGGACTATTAATCACAACTTCCCCTAGATGTTTCTATCGACTGACACCCTCAGGCTTCTACCAGCGTGTTGTGATGTGATTTGCATGTCTTGCATGTCTTGATTTTTTAAACAACGACCAATTTTTTGCGTTAATTCTACCAAACTACTTATCATCATTTTCATTTTAATTACTGTTAAAGAAATCGCAAAAAAATCTTATTCAAATTAGCATTTTCTCATTTTGGATTCCGTCTACCAACATTCTCAACTCCTGCGAACAGAAGCACTTTGTCATCGCTAATCGGCTCCCCCACCGAGGTTCTCTCTTGACGCGAAGATGCCTCGATCTTTTACGACTTCGCATTTTTTTTTCCTCCTTTATTTTGTTTCTGTTTTGACAAGAATATTGACAACAATCTTCTTCTCTGTTTCAGCGATCGGAGTTCATCGAACTTGCCGATAGGCTCTCATCGAAGAACTCTGCATCGTCATCCGTTGCGTTCGGTTCGTCGCTTGAACGGGCGTTGATGTCACCGTAAATCACCCACTCCGATCGAGCGAGACGTGGTAAATCTTGAATATCTTTATTGACTCTCGAACGTGACTAAAAAATGTGCGATCAAGCCGCATGGAGGTGAAAGATCGAATTTTTGGCCAGCTCGTGCGGGGCAATCGTCGCAATCGTGACAGAGTACTTAAAACCTGTTGTGCTGCGCGGTAATGAATGTCAAACACCCGCACTTTTGATGTCTGTGGGTCAGTCTAGAACATGCAACATGGCACGTAAGATTCCGCAGGACGACCGGCAGCCGATTATAAATCACCGACTCAATGTCACGTCCCTGTTAGGTCATAAAGTATGCATATTTCGTAAAATTATCTCTCGGTGAACTCGGAGAACTCCAAAGGCAAAAAGTGCCAACAGTGGGATACGTTTTTATCTTCCTTTTATTCTGCGCTCCATTCTCGAGTGTATAATAATAAGAATCATGCAAATCGCATTTATTTACAGCTCACTGCTGAGCGCGCAAACATCCTGCGGGAATGCAAGACTCCTCTGTCATTAATTATATTCGTTTCGTTTCGTGTATTAAGCAAAGAGCAGATTCTTAATTGCAATCTTGTGCAATTTTACCTCCCACCCTGTGTCCCGCAACCATCAACACTCAATTCTGTTTTTACGCGGATTCTTTCGTCAGTATGACTGTTTGTATTTATGCGACAAAATCGAGAAAAACCGGGAAATCGCGTAACTGCAGAACGGAGTGTAGCACGGTGTAAAAAGCTCATCCAATATTAAAATGCTGAATTCCTGGAATTGTTTGTTCGCCGTTCTCCATCGGGATTCATCACCCTTGTTGCTGCTGTTGCTGCTGAATGCATCATTAATAAACACATTTTTTCTCTTCTGGTCTCCGGGAATTTGAATTGGATGGACGCACATTTATTGCTGTTAATGGATGGGATTGAAAAGAGAAGGCTCGCAACGCGATAACTCATTACGGGCTGCTTTTCAAATGTGTGTTTCCAAGGGTCGAAAATTAATCCCTCCGGGACACGAAGCTCTGTTGGTTCATTTTTTTATAATTCAAATAATCAGTTGAACGCTGAGTGTGGCATGAAGGTACATGGGATGTGAACGACCGAATGTTGAGAGATTTTCAATGCAATGTGTCAAAAATGATGGAAAGATGGAATTTATTGCAAGTTCTTGGTATTCTCGGATATTCTTCACTGGAGCGAAAGTAATTAATTTTGCAAAGTGAGTGGGCTTCTTTCTGCTTTGATGTACTTTTTAATATAATGATTAAAACGCAATGTTTCGCTATGAAGATCGACAACTTCTAATATTTCAATCTCAGACTCTAAATGCATTTTTCCCACTTATTTCCCATTCTGTATAGTGGCTTGGAAAAGACTTATTTCTTCAATGGGGTCAGATATTTAAAAAAATAGCCTCCTCTCAGACTTTTCCATTTTCTACAATATATTTAACTTCACATATAGTCAAGCATGTTTTGCTGTCCGTACATTTGTTGTTGTTGTAAATCCATTTATTTGTTCAAGGCTCAAATGCGGAAGCTTAACGGAGCCGGAATTCATTTTACTTTTTACAAAATTTCCTAAAAATAGAGTTAGTTCAAGCGGTGTCCGAATACTAGCGGCTTACTTGAGGTTACGGGCTACAATCTATTAATAGGAAGGAAGGGATCAAGGAAAAGTTACACACCGTCGCTAACTAGCTATTTTTTGACGATTGACCATGTGAGATGCAGTGAGGTGACGGGAAAGTTCTCTTGATCTCTCTCGAGAAGACTGGTGGTTGATTAAAACTGCAACGAAACATGAAAAGAGGGGCTTGAAATGGGGCAACGATGAGAGAACAGAAACTAAAATTGGTTCACGAACAGACAAAACACTACCACACTCTCAAAAGTTAGTAATTTTAAACGTCAAAGTTGATGATCGATGAAAGCATTGGCTTCAAAAGAGTATTCAACATTGGAATCATCAATACAATAATGTTCCTCATGGAGTGTGGCACATTGAATATTTCGAGAATGCCATCTACACTTCCAGAAAACGTTAACATGGCTGCATGTTGTTCGGGCTGTGGAACTGGCATATCCGGAGCCTTGAAAGAAGCTGGAAGCCGCGGAAAGCCCCTATCAACATCAAATGGTTTAAAACCCGGTGGAGGGGCTTTCGGAACATTATCGCTACTTCCTGGTTTCTTCAAGATGACTCGAGGTTCAATACGAGAGGCGTCCTGAGGCTATTGCGTGATAATTTTGGATCGCTTCCTAGGTGGGGCTTTGAAAACGGCATGATTTCTCTCGCCAACATTAGGGTCAGAGCCCTGGTCATCAACTGAGAGAAGGTCGAAGGGGTTGCTATGTGGGGAAACTCGAGAAGATGGAGAAACTGATCTTAGGATTTCCGCGAAGGAACGCTGCGCACGAGCCTTCAAAGACCGCTGGAGTTTTTCTCCCTGCTGTTTGTATCTTGGACAATCAGCGAGAACCTGCGCAATTTCCAAACAATAAGAACATTTTGGGGAGGCACCACTGGCGTGCATAGGGTGGAGCAAGGTGGGACAATTGCCCCCCCCCTTTTATAAATAACATATTTATTTCCACATTTATAAAATTATGACATAAAATAACTTAATTTCTTGATAACTTGATTTGAAGGTAAAATAACTTCATTTCATAATATAAGGGCACAGAAAACCTTTTATTGCGTCAATTCCTTCGAGATGATGCCTGAAAATTTCACCACAAAGGTGCATAAAGGTTCAAACTTCAATGAAATTTGTTGGTGAGAAAATTGCACCACAGTGGTGCATACAAAACAATCTGGTGTAATTTTTTTTTGAGGATGGAGGATTAAAAGAAAAGGGTAAATTGAAGGTTGAAAAAATTCACTAATCTAAATTAATAACTCTGATGGAAAAATTGTATCACGCAAAAAAAAATTGAAGGTGCACATTTAGCTGAAAATTTCTGGTGGAAAGTTCGCAGCACTGTGGTGAATGTAGAAGCAAGGTTTATTCATTTTTCTGGTGCATAATTTGCATCGTTGTGATGAATGCAAGATTCATTGAAAATTTATGGTACATGAAGAGGCAAAGTCTGAAAATTGCACCACAAAGGTGCATGGTGAAACAAACTTCACTGACACTTTTTGGTGCACCGTTCTGGTGAATGGAGGAGCATGCTTTATTGAAAATTTCTGGTGCAAAATGTGCATCGCACTGATTAATGAAATAATCAGAAAATTTCTGGTGGAAAACTTGCACCGTTCTGGTAAATGAAGGCACAAGCTTTATTTAAAATTAAGCTGGGTTCGCAGTGGTTGGAGAGTCCAGTATTGGCAAAAGTTCTCACAACCGCGTTTGGTCTGACAATGAACTGGCAGCGCAGTGTTTCCTGTTCTTCATTGCCGGATCAGATACCGTTTCGACGTGCCTTACATTCGTTAGCTACGAGCTTCTCATCAACCCGGATATTCAGGACAAATTGTACCAGGAGATCGTGGCGGTTGATCGATCACTGGATGGTAAACCGGTTAGCTATGAAGCACTTCAGAAGATGCAATACATGGACATGGTAGTTTCCGAGTCCCTTCGCCTATGGCCTCCGGCTCCGTTCGTTGATCGGTTCTGCGTTAAGGATTATCTGTACAATGATGAACAAGGTACACGGGTACAGATCCATAAAAATCAACTCGTGTGGTTCCCAACGACTGCCCTTCACCATGATCCTAAATACTATCCGGATCCGTTCAAATTCGATCCGGAACGGTTTAGCGAGGAAAATCGAGACAAGATTCGACCGGGGACTTATCTACCGTTCGGCGTGGGTCCTCGGGCCTGCATCGGATCCCGGTTTGCACTGTTGGAGGTGAAAGTGATCTTGTACAATCTGCTGCGGCACTTTACCCTGGTGAGAAGCGAGAAAACGAAGGTTCCTCTGAAGCTGGAAAGCAAAATGATTGGAATTAAGATTGCCGGAGGAGTCTGGCTGGAATTTAAACCTAGGGAGTAACATATCGAATAAGCTTTACTTGTAAGATCTTTACTAATATAGGAGCTGAGATGAATCGGTAAGCGGTCCCCGCTTTACTAACGTTAGTTTTAAGTAATTTTGTTATCTAAACAATGAATATCGGCTCCGCAAAGCTACAGAAAATGAGCCTGGAAAAATAAACGCATTATTAAAAAAAATAATAAATTCATGAGACGTTGGTCCCTGATTTTTTAAAAATCCTTATCATAACCCATTCTGCAATGAACCATAAAATTAGCAGACTTAGCGCTGCCGTGCACTCCGTTATCACCATGGTAACAACGTGATGAATTTACCGCAATTTCTTTGATCACCGCTACACGTTCGCCCTAGATTTGCCGTATTGAAGTCAGGTCAGGTTCGAAAAATTTAAAACATACAACTAGATTTTTCCAAACTTTATTAATCCAACTCCCCGTCAAGCCCGTGGCTTAAATTCCAACCACATACCGCCTTCGGGCTCCGTTCCAAGGTGAAGTTCTTCACCAGATGATATACGACCGCCTTGACCTCCATCAGGGCGAACCGCGAGCCGATGCAGTTTCTCGGTCCAACTCCAAACGGAATATAGGTCGCCGGGTTGATCTTACTACGATTCTGCTCGCTGAATCTCTCCGGATCGAACTTGTTCGGGTTCGGGAAGTATTTAGGATCGTGGTGCAGAGCCGTAATCGGGAACCAAATGAGTTGACCCTTGTTAATCGAGATTCTCGTTCCCTGACCGTCGTCGTACACGTAGTCCTTGACGCAGTAGCGATCGGTGAACGGAGCCGGTGGCCATAAGCGTAGCGTCTCCGATACGACCATGTCTAGGTATTGCATCTTCTGAAGAACTTCGTAGGAAAGAGGTTTTCCGTTCAGCGAGTCCTCAACGGCCATAATCTCTTCGTACAGTTTCTGCTGAATGTCTGGATTGACCAGCAGTTCGTAACTCAAGAACGTCAAGCAAGTTGACATGGTGTCAAAGCCAGCTAGAAAAAACAGGAAGCACTGCGAAACGAGTTCGTTCTCAGACCAAACGTGACTGTGAATAGACTTTCCAACGCTCGACTCCTCAACAGTGGCAAAACCTGCGTCTTTCGCATCCTGTTCGTCCTTCTGGTGCTTCAGAGCGCCCTCCTGAACCTGCATCAAGATGTTGATCATGTCGTTACGCACTATGCCGTGCACCTTCCTTTGCTTCATGTTATCCAAAATCATGCCCTTGAAGTACGCGTTCATCTTGGAACTCGAGATGTCCACCTTCAACCGATTCATCAAACTCGGTGCTACCCGTAGTAAGATGATCTTCACCAGCGTTCTCAAATTCTGAAAATTCAGCATCGCCTTTCCCTTCACAAAGAAATCGTTATCCTGCTCCCGCAGGGAATCCATCTTGATATCGAACGCTACCGAGCCGATTACGTCCGTACTGAACCGTGAAAACAAGTCTTTCATCTCGTATTCCATCGTCCGACCGGCCTTGGCTTCTTCGCGGAAGAATTCCGTCGTAGATTGGGCACAATCCAGCACCAGCTCGAACATGTAACGCATCTTGCTTCCGGTGAAGGCCGGACTCAGTGTCGCCCGCATGTCCCGCCACTTCTGTCCTCGCAGGGCAACCAGTGAGTTCCCGAACAGACTTTCCGTGCCCACATCGTCACGGTCCGCTTGCGTAAACAGTGGCGCATGATCGATAAAGTGATCGAAATCTTTGACTCCGATCTGCTTGATCGCATCCGGATCGCGGATCATCATGGTCGGTTTGACGAAATCGAACAGTCCAATGATCCTGCAAAGAAAGAAGGAGTAATACTGCTATATTGGCGTAGACTACGCCCCGTCGTCAGCTTACTTGGCATTCGGGTGGCTGTTGTACATCTTCGGCATATTCTGCATAATGTTTTCCCTTTTCAGCAGTACCGAGGCACCATTGCCGAGTAGGAACGTGGGCTTCACGTACGGTATGCCACGCTCCGCGAAGAATTGATACTTGCGGTTGATGAACTGGTAGAAGAGGAAGAAGATCCCGGCGATGAGTGCCGCCAGCACGAACGGATCGAACATTATGCTTGCTTTGTTTGTCAACGGTGTTCTGACGAATGTCAATGATATGGGTAAACTGTGGGCTTTAAATTCCCATCGCCTGGAAAGATATGGAACCGGTTATCGGAGGGAAACTCGTTATCTCGTTGTCTACTGTACAGCAGGTCGATGTGCCAAACTGATAAGAACAATCTAGGCGCGGTACATTGAAACTTCAAGTTGGACAATATTGTCTCACACCATGGAAGTACGCCAGGAGATTTGGACAGTGTTAAGTGGAATATGATTCCTAGGTAGAGGGGGGTCGGAACGCCCACTGCAGCGCATTTTGGGGGATTTAATAGAAAATAAATACACTTTATTCGTTGAAAATAAGCCAAATTTATTGAAACAATAATCCTGACTAACTGTTAACTTTGGGGTGATTATTAGCCACTTCTAGGCTAGTTCGTCAGAATTATAAATCAAATCGAATAAATCTCATTAATGTTATATTTTCCATTCCTTCCATTACAGGTAAGCAGTAAAGCAACTATGACTACGATTACGGCTACACCCGACCCTTCCAAGGTATGTTGAACAGCTAAACTAACTCGCCAGCACCTACAACTTCCTCGGTTTGAACTCCACCCAAGCACCGTTCTCGGTCCGCACATCGACGGCTTTCTTGGTAAGCCTTATCGGCACGTCCGTCTTCTCGGTGGGCTCGAAGCTGAAATCCTTCAGCAGATAGTATACCACCAGTTTCACCTCCATCAGTGCCAATCGCGATCCAATGCAGTTCCTCGGGCCCGCTCCGAACGGCAGATAGGACCCCGGAACGATCTTCGATCGATTCTCCTCGCTGAATCGCTCCGGATCGAACCGCTCGGGATTGCGGAAATATTTGGGATCGTTGTGGATCGCCAGGATCGGAATGTTGATTTGTAGGCCATTTTCGATGACAAACTGCAACCCAGCTCCATCGTCGACCAGGTAGTCTCGGTTGGCGTAACGATCGGTATCCACGGTCGGAGTCCACTTGCGGAGAGTTTCCGAAACCACCATATCCAGGTACTTCATCTTCTGGAGTGTTTCGTAGCTCGGAGCTTTCCCGCCGAGGGATCGTTCCGTGTCCGCCACTTCTTCATACAGCTGATTCTGGATATCCGGATTGAGCGTAAGCTCGTAGGCCAAGAAAGTCAAACAGGACGATACGGTGTCGAATCCAGCCAGGAAGAACAGGAAGCACTGCGACGTCAGTTCGTTCTCCGTCCAAACCCTTGCATGCGTTGACTTTCCAACCTGGGACTCTTTGACCGTTGCAAAGCCTGCATCGTTCAATTCTTGTTCGTCTTTGCCATGCTTCAGAGTACCCTTCCGAACATCCATCAGCATTTGAATCATATCGTTGCGCACGATTCCATGGACTTCCCGCTGTTTCATGTTGTCCTTTATGATCTTCTTGAAAAACTCGGCCAAATCGGCATCTACGAAGTCCACTTTCAGCTTCCGCAGCTGCCAGGGCATAGTAGCAAAAAGTAGAAACTTGATAACAATCGTAAATGACTGGAAGTCCAGCATCTGTTTTCCTTTCACGTAGAATTCATTCGAGGGATCGCGTAGCGAATCGACCTTGATACCGAACGCTACAGTAGCGATCACGTCATTACCGAACCGCGAGAAGACATCCTTCATCTCACACTCCAACCTCTTGCCAGCCTTCGCTTCCGAGCGGAAGTGTTCCACCATAGATTGGCTACATTCGACCACCAGGTCGAACATGACCCGCATCTTACTGCCGGTAAACGCCGGACTCAACGTCGATCGCATGTCTTTCCACTTTTGCCCACGCAGGGCAAACAACGAGTTGGCGAACAGGCCAGTGGCACTGTCGTCGTCTTCCGTGCGATTGCCACTAAACGTCGGTGTATGATCCAGAAAATTTCTGGTGGAAAATCTGCATCGTTCTGGTAAGCAAATGGACAAGCTTTTCGGAAAATCCTGCATTCATTTGTTTGCAATAGAGAAACAAATTATAAAAATAATTTCTAGTGTAAAATTTGCACCATTCTGATGATTGGAGGGAAGCTGCTTTACTGAAAATTTGTGATGAAAATTCTTAAAATAGGGACAAGCTTTATTTGGTGGAAAACATGCAACATTCTGATGATACGAGAAACCAGCTATATTGAACATTTCTGGTGGAAAATGGAATAAGGAATTCTGCACCAATCAGAAGATTGGAGAAGCAATTCTTATTGATATTATCTATTTGATTTAACGGTGAAAAATTTGCATCGTTCTGGGCAATTGAAATTTTCTGGTGTAAAATTACCTGGGGGCAAGTTTGTATTGAATATTTCTGGTGTAAGATTTGCAACAATCTGAATTGAAAATTCCTAATGTAAAAATTGCACAGTTCTGGTGAATGGACGGACAACTTAAACTTGAATTCCGAGAAGAACCTCAAGGGTTTTGAATTCTGAGGGCAGTTCCAAAAGGAAAGATTTCTGGAAAAATTTCAAGGGAATTCCGAAGATGATTTCATGCTCATTCTGGGAAGAATTTCTGGAGAATACAGAGGAAATTCTTCTGAAACTTTTAAGGAATTCCAGTTCCAAGGTGTTCTGAGAAAAAAAGTTCTAAAATATACAGAGAAGAAACTCAAAGATATTGAATTCTTAGAACACTTCTAAAATATTTCTGTGGAGAATTCTGTGGAGAATTCAAAGAAAATTCTGTGGATAATTTCTAGTGCATCCTGCAGATAGTCCAAGATAATTTCAAAAAGAATACCGAGAAAATCACATTTTGAGTGAAATTCCAAAGGGATGTTTAGGAAAATTTCAAGGGAATTTCGTGGATAATGTCTAGCTCATTCCGGGAAAAAATTCTGAAACTTTAAAGGAATTTCAGTTCCAAGGTGTTCTAAGACAAAAAAACTAGAAGAGTTCTAAGTATAACTCCAGTGGACTTCTGAGAAGAATTTCAAAAGAGCTCTTAGGAGAGTTCTAAAAAATCCGATAAGAACCTCAAGGATATTAAATTCTGAGGACAGTTCCAAAGTATTTCTGGGGAGTATTCCAAGAAAATTCTTAGAATAATTTCTAGTGAATCCTGCAGATAGTTCCAAGATAATTCCGAAAAGAATACCGAGAACATTAAATTTTGAGTGAAATTCCAAAGGGATATTGAGGTAAATTTCAAGGGAGTACCGATAATTTCTAGCTCATTCCGGGAATAATGTCTGGATAATACTGAGGAAATTCTTCTGAAATCTAAGGGAATTTTAGTTCCAAGGTGTTCTGATCAATACTCAAGAAGAGTTCTAAAAATAATTCCAAAGGACTTCGGAGAAGAATTTCAAAAGAGCTCATGGAGTTCTAAAAATTTTGAAAAGAACCTCAAGGAATTGTGAGGATGTACTTTTTCGCAACTGTACAAAGGTTTAAAAAAAAAGAACATGACGCAAAACATTATTACAGCGATTCCTACAGGGTTCAGAAATTGGAAGAAAGCGACCGAGTTGCTGGGCAAACACAATCGCAGTGATATCCATGTTGGTAGTATGGAAGCGTGGAAGAATTTCAAAACCAGGAAGGGTATCGACGAAGAACTGGACCACCAAAAAACAGCAATGATTGCTGCTGGTGAGGCAAAGTGACTACAAAATCGATATATAATGAAACGTTTCATCGATATTGTGCGCATACTTTGCAAAGGTGGCTGACGGAAAGTGTGCCACCCAGTTGGTGGCTAACTACGATCCTGTGCTGGAAGAAATATTTGGCGGAAGGTGCCAAAAATTGCCAGTACACAAAGAACCGTATTCAAAATGACTTGATTATGTCGTTGCACAATGTAATGGTGCGGAACAATGCGAAAACCTTGCGAGGAAAACCAGTGGCAATCATCCCAGATAAGACAAGCAATTGTGGCCACCACGAGTAGTTGGTGATTGTTATCAGGTATATTGATAATGGTGGGATTAAATTGCCAATTCCATAGGCTATCTGAAAGCAGTTTGCATTGAAGAAGATGAACCACCACCGGAGCAAAAAATAAATAAAATTAGCTAGATTGAACTGTAAGGAAATAGTGTACCATGTACTTTGGAATTCTCTCCATCCCCAGATTAAATGCACCATAGAAAAAAAAAAATTCCCCTCCTTAACCAGATTCCTGTGCACGCTAGTGGGAGGCACGACAAGAACCCTCCGTATGTTTCTCCCCACATTGATCGTAGCGTGGCTTGTTACCACAGAAAGCCGCAGTGTGCCCTAGTCGCTTACATTTTGTGCAGTTCATTACTTTTGGTACCAAAAAGCGCACAGGTAATCGGATCATCCCAATCGCGACGTAATCTGGTAGGAAACGAGTCCGAAAGCGTGTAAGTTTTCTTCGTTCCAACGAGGGACACTGAATGTTGTCTAGCGCAACCGGAAAACTTTGAAGAAGATCTCACCGCTGATACAAAAGTATCGAAATCAAGTCCGTTGAAGTGGTCGTCGAAAGAATATGCAGTCATCGCTAAAATTGTGATCTGGAATATGTAGCATGCGGTCTACAACCACTCCGAGATCTTTGATAGGGTAAACAAGTGTGAGACTCTGCATACAGATTGTATTGTCATACACAGAAAAAAAATCTAAATCAATTAAGAGCACAAATATCAGTTCTCACAAAACATACAATAATGAAACTGGAACGCCAATTGGGAGCAAACAATCTCCATCGAATATGCATCGTCGCCTTCGGACAGCGGCACACGGATTCCTTGCTGTTGATTCCCAACGATCAATTCAGTACATCAGAACGAGTGGCCCATCTTATTCAAATCCATGGTAGAAGGTCACCCCAAAACTGCTCGACTAAGTGATGAATTGTAATTGAATCTCTATTAATAACCCACCTTAAATTTCTTTTTTCCCCATAAATTCCATCAACCTACCAACCCTATTCGCCCGCGAGCAAATGCCGATTTCCCAAGCGAACAAATGAAGTGATAAAAAGAATTAATAAATAAAAACATTCCTAGCATAACAAACTCTCCTTATTCAGCGAGCTCAGCTCTGTTCGCTTTTCCTCTGCACAATCCGAAAGCCACCACAAGCACTAGAGGTAGGTAGGTAGCGATCGAGCTGCATTCCGCCACATGTAGCGAAACTCAACTTCCCACCTGCAGCTGGGTCGGTCACTCTTCAGCACCATGTGCTTTACCGAATGGGAGCAAAGAGAGAACAAGGGAACTCACGCTCTCACGTGGTTCCATCGGATATTCACCACAATCTCCTCCGTCGTGCAGTGGTGGGTGGTGGGGTGGCTGCTGTGTGCATGCCGGTTGGACTCTCCCAAACAACGCTGATCGATCATCTGGTTCGGCTCTTCATGGGCAGCGGGGCAAAGAAGAAGAAGAAGAAGCAGGAAAAAAAAAATATGTGCACGACTTTCGCTTGGGCTTACAGTTTTTCGCACGCTGGGAAAGTGACCGTGGATCGCGCGTGGTGAGTATCTGCCGTGCACGGTGTTGGCGGAGTTCGTCGCCTGCTCGGGCCCGTGGTGAGTGAGTCGTTCGTTCGTGGCGGGCGCGTTCGAGCTCAAGATTTGAACCGAGGCTCGATCGAGCGGTTATTAGGTTGCGCGAGTTTAGTTGATTAAGTCGCGGTCTGGGCGCAGGTTCCTCCTTCTGAAAGCAGTTTGCAATTGTTCCTAAATTGGTGTTGTGCCACAGAGTGTTTAGAGGTGCGGTCGCAAAATTCGTGACTAGAATTGATCGTGCTGACATTTCCAGAACCTTTTGAACTCCGCTCGCTAGTATTTCACCATACCGACTTTGATTGAAACGAAAACGACGACGACGACGACAGCAGACAGCAGGGAGAGAAATCGAATCGAAAAGTGAAGTCAGTTCCGTTCCGCGATTTCCTCTGGCCGAGCAAAGATTATTGACACGTGTGTGTGATCATCTCTCATTCCGCCTCCTCCAGGTGTGTTTGTTTTGTGCTTCCCTTTTGGGTTTCCTATTTTATACATTTGCTGGTGCTTACGAGTAGAGAGGTGCGTTTATGAGTCTTTGATGATTGTGCAGTGGTTTGTTACTGTGTGTTGATTGTCGAGTTGCAGCAGCTTGTGCAGTGTTGTTCAGAGAGTGCAGTGACGAAGAAAGAGAAAAGCAAACGCTCGAAGGAGGCAAACACACATACCGAAAAAGAAAGAGCGAGAGTTGTGGCGAAGAAGCGGCAGTTGTTAGTATTAAATTGGTTGTTTGAGTGCAGGCCTCAAGTGACACATATTTTCGAATCGCAGGGCAACAAATCAAATCCAATTGGCAATCTGCTGGCAACGGGAAGAAAGAAACGGGTAGTAGGACTGGTACCTAACACTGTGAGTGGCGAAAGATAAACAAACGACGACGGATTCTCGATTGTTTTCCCTGGTTTTAGTGGAAAATCGTGACTGGTGAGACAAAGGGAAAGAAACGAATAATAAGAGACGAACTTCTTTTTTTTTCGCTGTAAAAAAGAGATTCACTTTCCGTTGACTGTTCTGGCGAATGGTTGCTTAGAGAAAAAAAAAGAGGGAGAAAGAGAGAGGCGAGGAATCTCGACATAAAAGGTGAGTTATGTTACGTGGGTTTTTGGGCATAATGGGGAGGTTAGATAACAGCGGGACGTGGGATGATCGGTTGGCTTAAACTGACTTTTATCTCGTTAATGAGCTGTTGTGGGATAAAGAATATGATTCCCCTGTTTACTTAATCCCTTTTTTGAATATTTTAACCTAACAAAATAGATTCAGATGATGGGTTACATTATAGTCAAAAATGTAATTCTGGAAGCGGGGTTTGTCAAAACATTGTTTTTGAGGCTCTTGATAAACTTTGATTGAATTTTTATTTGAATTAGCTAGTTTTTGTTCAAAACCATTACTCAAATGATATTTTTTTTTCTTTTGATAAATCACTGATAATAGTCGATTTAAAATTTAGAGGGTTTGATCCAGGGCTGTGCAGTCGGATCAAAATCGACCGACTCAAAAACTAATTAAATCAAAATGCAATACAAATGTGCTTCAATGAAATCCAGTCGAATAAATGTTTAAACAAAAATTGATTTGGTATATTTTAGCAAATATATTCCTTGGAAAATGGCATGAATATTTATTGTAATTTCAGATTTTTTCAATATTCACAGATTCAAATTTTTTCTGTATGACCGTGTTTTAAAATAGACAAATTGAATTTAAACTTTGATATCCATCATATACATTTTGGAGTGTGATAATACTAATTAAAAATTCTTTATTATAGTTAGGAATGTAATAAGAAGACGTGTAAACAATAATTCGAAATATTTCCCAAAAGAGCGCCAATAACAGAAGTAATTTTAATAGAAATTGGACACAACATAAACAAAAATTGAAATATATTGAATAGTTTATTCCGATCCTATCTAAATATTTAGCTAATTTGGTCATTACTTTTAACGGAACCGCAAAAAAGCACATTATCGAATAAAATTCTTGATAAACTGGCAACATAACATTGATTACATTTGTTCATGCATTTGTCACAACTTATAGTCGGTCACAACTTTCAAATCACATTTTCCAACGAAAATCGTAATAAGCCTCATTTTCCAATGCTATGGTAGTAAGTTCTATAAAAGCTTGATTTCAATATAAAACTTTCACATTTTATCACCATTTTCATCGGAAATGGACGCAGCTTTTATAAACATCAATAATTTCAAACAAATTACTCACAATCAATTCAAAGTGTAAATTGACCACAATTGCGAATGAAATCGATTGCAAAATTTAATGAAATCAGCCATAAATTTTAATTTAATTGATCTCATATGCAAAAACATATTTGGGCAGATATTTGAACGCATACATCTGCTACTTATAATGAAAGTGGTAAAACTGAATTGTTCACAACTTTGGTCCAAACCTTAAATGTAATTGGTTTCGAGTAATTTGGTAACGATTGATTTTGATCCTAAAAATTTTCCAAAATATTGATAAAAACAACTTGATATACATGATATTCATGAAACTTTGCATATTGTTTGTTATGGGCAATGTATTTTTTTTTGCTTATATTCGGCTATATTTAATATTTTAAAATAGTCAATAAGGCTATTTATTACTTCTTCAAAATCTTGATGCATGCAAAAGGAAATTCTGATCGAATATATGTTTTTGGTGAATAATATGCAAAGTCATGTTTACGTTATTTCTAATAATTATTTAAAATCCTATGTGTCTCTTAATGTCTTTATCTGATTTTTAAATGTTTTTAATTATGGACACTTAACAATTGAAAACAATCGTAGAATTATCACTTTTGATGAAATTTTTGAACTTTTTGTCAAAATGTTTTTTAATTTTATTTATGCTCCGAAACTAATGTTAGAGATATTTTTAATCATTTTCTTTGAATGCACAAAGCAGAGTACTAGCAAAAAGCAAAATTTTACCAAAAGTTCTTGTTCTATGATTTTTGTCAGTTTTTAAGTGTTCATGGTTTTAAACATCACAAAATTTGCATTTTTAATAAGTCTTTATTTTTTTTAAATCACCTTTTATTTTATTGAAATTGTTTCGAGTTATTTCATTTATTTATTTCATTCATTTATTTCATTTATTTAAATAAAAAATAAAAAAAAATTAAAAATCCAAATAACTCGAAATGCTCTTGCCTGATTTATTTGATTTAAAAAACTAAATAAAATCTAATGAAGAATGCAAATCATTTTTTGTTTATTTTCCCACAGAGACAGTAGTTTACTCTACAAGTTGTTTTCAGACGTAATTTCTACTAGAAATTTCTTTTCCATGCTACAGTTTTTTGAAAAATTTCAATGGGCCATTTTGTAAATATTGTATAACCAAATGGGCCGAATTTCAGCAAAAATTCAGATTATTGCCCATAACAAGCAAGTACGCTAGGTTTGACACGAATAGATGAAGATTGAATCAAAATTTAAATTTGTGTTTTCACTGTTTGTGCTGGAACTGCTCGTTTATTAAATTCCTTTTCAATGATTTTAAATCATTTATAAAATTTTAAAATTCTAATTTAAAAAACTTTTTTTTTAAACAGTTGAATTTATTTCTGCTTTAATTTATATAGTAAACAAATATTTCAGGTTTTCTAAGGACAATATTTTACACATCCGAATATTTTTATTTGATTTCATAGGGAGTCTATAGTTTTGTCTCACTTGTTCAAGTACAATAATTGATTATCAGCCAATATTTTGTAAATGAATTAACTTTTGGTACGTTCAAGTTTACAATTATTATCCATAACAGTCGAAGTCGGTACAACTATGACTCAATGACTCTGACTCCAACACCGACTCCAACTCCAATACCTACTCCAGCTCTGACTCCAACTGCGACTCCAACTGCGACTCCAACTGTGACTCCAACTGCGACTCCAACTGCGACTCCAACTGCGACTCCAACTGCGACTCCAACTGCGACTCCAACTGCGACTCCAACTGCGACTCCAACTGCGACTTCAACTGCAACACCATCTGCGACTCCAACTGCATTTCCAACTGTGACTCCAACTGCAACTCCAACTGTGGCTCCAACTGGGACTCCAACTGTGACTCCAACTGTGACTTCAACTGTGACTCCAACTGCGACTTCAACTGTGACTCTAACTGAACCTTCAACTGTGACTCCAACTGCAACTCCAACTGTGACTTCAACTGTGACTTCAACTGTGACTCCAACTGTGACTCCAACTGGGACTCCAACTGTGAGTCCAACTGTGACTCCAACTGCGACTTCAACTGTGACTCCAACTGCGACTTCAACTGTGATTCTAACTGAAACTTCAACTGTGACTCCAACTGTGACTCCAACTGTGACTCCAATTCTGACTACATCTGCGACTCTAATTCTAACTAAAACTGCGACTCCAACTACGACTCCAACTACTACTCCAACTGCGACTTCAACTGTGACTCTAACTGAACCTTCAACTGTGACTCCAACTGCAACTCCAACTGTGACTTCAACTGTGACTCCAACTGTGACTCCAACTGGGACTCCAACTGTGACTCCAACTGTGACTCCAACTGCGACTTCAGCTGTGACTCTAACTGAAACTTCAACTGTGACTCCAACTGCAACTCCAACTGTGACTCCAACTGTGACTCCAACTGTGACTCCAATTCTGACTACATCTGCGACTCCAATTCTAATTAAAACTGTGACTCCAACTGCGACTTCAACTGTGAATCCAATTGCGACTTCAACTGTGACTCCAACTACGACTCCAACTACTACTCCAACTGCGACTTCAACTGTGACTCTAACTGAACCTTCAACTGTGACTCCAACTGCAACTCCAACTGTGACTTCAACTGTGACTCCAACTGTGACTCCAACTGGGACTCCAACTGTGACTCCAACTGCGACTTCAACTGTGACTCTAACTGAAACTTCAACTGTGACTCCAACGGCAACTCCAACTGTGACTCCAACTGTGACTCCAACTGTGACTCCAACTGTGACTCCAATTCTGACTATATCTGCGACTCCAATTCTAATTAAAACTGTGACTCCAACTGCGACTTCAACTGTGAATCCAATTGCGACTTCAACTGTGACTCCAACTGTGACTCCAACTGCGACTCCAACTGCGACTCCAACTGCGACTCCAACTGTGACTCCAACTGTGACTCCAACTTCGACTCTAACTGCGACTCCAACTAAGACTCCAACTGCAACTCCAACTGTGACTCCAACTGCGACTCCAACTGTGACTCCAATTCTGACTACAACTGCGACTCCAACTGTTACTCCAACTGCGACTCTAACTGCGAATCCAACTGTGACTCCAACTGTGACTCCAACTGTGACTCCAACTGTGACTCAAACTGCGACTCAAACTGCGACTCAAACTGCGACTCAAACTGCGACTCAAACTGCGACTGCAACTGCGACTGCAACTGCGACTGCAACTGCGACTCCAACTGTTACTCCAACTGCAACTCCAACATCGACTCCAACTGTGACTCCAACATCGACTCCAACATCGACTCCAACTTCGACCCCAATTCCAACTCCACTACTCCGACTCTACGACTCCGACTCCACGACTCCGACTCCACGACTCCGACTCCACGACTCCGACTCCACGACTCCGACTCCACGACTCCGACTCCACGACTCCGACTCCACGACTCCGACTCCACGACTCCGACTCCACGACTCCGACTCCACGACTCCGACTCCACGACTCCGACTCCACGACTCCGACTCCACGACTCCGACTCCACGACTCCGACTCCACGACTCCGACTCCACGACTCCGACTCCACGACTCCGACTCCACGACTCCGGCTTCACAGCCCTGGTTTAACCTAACGGATTACGGGCTAGTTTTGAATATCAGGCAACAGGAATTCTTGATTTCTTTATTTTTCGAACATGGGCTTCAGAATAACTCCAAATCAAATTCTTTGAAATTTTCAATACTAAAAAAATCAGACGCTTTCTAACTCTCATTTCAAGCAATCTCGTGGTATTTTCGAAAAAAGTTATGTATTTACCTCATAGAATAGGCTCTTTTCATGCACCATCAATGT